CGTTGGCCCCCCCGCCGCCCCTCGGGGAGCCGGCTGCTGCTGCTGAACAGAAGCGGCTGTCTGCAGGGCCTTGGCCAGCTGCTGGCCAGGATCCTCGGGACGGAGCCGCTGGATGCACTCGGGACCTGTGGAGGAGCGTGGGGCAGAGGCATCCCCATGCTATCAGCGTGAGCTCGCTCCTCCCGCGCGGTAGCTCATGGCAGCGCATTGATGGAGCATGAGGTCATGCAAAACAGGCTGGGCAGCGCAAGCAGCAATTTGAACTGGTGCCCAAGTTATTTTGCCTCCTCAGGCTGGACTAAGGGAGCTCCAGCATCTTTTTGGGAAACCTTCATTTAATAGGGGGCCCTGCCTGGCCTGTCTGCCACCAGTGCATACCCTACAGATACAGAGCATCAGGAAGAGGGAGATTAACTTGAAGGAGCCCTGCTATTAAAAGACTAATGAGTAGGAGCTTTCTGAGAAGTAGCTTAGGCTCATGAGAGCCATGCTGTTTGGTGTGGGTCTGGGCAGCAAGCCCATAGCTCGTTAACTCTTACCTTCTCCAGGGCATGTAGGTGGTGGGGGGTTATTCGTGGGTCTCCACCTGAGTTCAACTCTTGCTCTAACTCCTCCAGCATGGCAGAGAAGAGCCTGATATCAGGAGATGTGCTGTCCCAGCGCTTGGTGAGGAGTTACTAAGACTTTCAGCCAGGTCTGAGGGGAATCTGGTCTAGGCTTACAGAGAGGGTTTTACCATCTTGCAGCTATTTGGATAGAATACATTGGTGGTGGGAGGAATTTCTTACCTCTGGGTCAGCACTGGAAAGGGGAGCAGAAGGTTTTTGGTACAATCTACTCTTGACCCTGGAGATGGGTGCGTAGACAGGGAGGACAGGCCAGCCCCAGCCCCACCAGCTGTGTTGGGGGGACCTGTCCTGTGGGGCTGGGGCTGTTCCATTAAAGTTGCTTAGAGAATATTAGAGGTAGCAGTGGGCAGCCTGGTCTCACTGGGGCAGTAGGAAATGGGTCCTGTGAGTGTCTGCTCCCCTGCACTGCCTGAAAGCTCCCCACCAGGGCATTCCTCATGCACGTGGCAAACTGAGTGAGACAGGACGTGTTCGGGGGTTCGTTCAGGCTGGACAGGTTTTCTTGAGGCAGGGCAGCATCCGTGCACGAGTAGAGCCTGTACTCCTTTCCTGTCTCCAGAATCTTTGAGCCGAGGCACGTGGGTTCCCCCTACAGTGTTTTTTTTTTTTGTCTCCCCACCAATACCTCTTCAGCAAAGCCCAGCAGTGTGACCAGCTTGATTCCCTACAATAATCCGGTACTGCTCACTGCTGACTATGCCCCAGCCTGGCCAGCCTCTGCTTCTCAAAACAGCAGCTAAAACGTTTGGTGCCCTGAAAGACCTGGGACTTCCCTGGGCTTTGATGTCCAGACTCCGTCAAACCAACTTCTTTCTGAGGCACCAGGGGCGATTCATGGCATTTCCATAACCCTGGCAGAAGCAGAGCATGGGAGAGGTGGGGAGGCAGCTTGCGAGGCCGGGGCAGGGCAGCTCCTGACTGCTCTGCCATGCTCCTGGTCTCAACCTTTGCTCTTAAATGCCTGCAATCCTGTGCATGACTCTGCTGGCCTGTCCTGCCTGGTCCCGGGGTGCAGCCCGGCGCTCCTGTGCCTGGCTCTGCCCAGGCACTCCCCTTCTTGAGACATCCCCAGGGGAGGAGTAAATGCGGTCAGACCAGGCTGGACCTTCCCTACTGGGACAGGCCTGATGCCAGCTCTGCGTGTGGAGCTGTGGCAGATGCCACTTTAGTGATGTGTTGCAGTGACACGTGGCTTTGGTTCCAGGTGACTTCTGCGATGTCAACCACTGTCAGAATGGGGGCACCTGCCTGACTGGCATTAATGAGACCCCTTTCTTCTGCATCTGCCCTGAAGGCTACGTTGGGATTGACTGCAACGAGACCGAGAAAGGTGAGGTACTGGGGAGGGACCTGAGTTCCCCATCACGGGGGAGATATCAGCAATGGCTCAGTGAAGTGCCGGGGGCCACTGGGTCTGCACAAACCTTGTGGTAGGGCAATATGCCCTCATGGTGGCCTTGCATGGCTGTCCCAGAGGTCTAGCCCTGCTGATGGGCACGTAGAATGGGTACGCAAGCGGGGGCATGGCAACCTGTGTCTCTTGGGATAATCTGTGTCCCATCCTTGGGGAGTGACCCCACTCTCTTGGGGAGACCCACTAGATGCCCCTGTTTTCCACTTGTGCCATATTATAGCTGTATCTCCTTTTTTTCCTCTTGCCCAGGCCCCTGCCACCCTAATCCTTGCCACAACAATGGCGAGTGTCAGTTGGTCCCTAACCGGGGAGATGTCTTCACTGAATACATGTGCAAGTGCCCTGTGGGGTACGACGGGGTGCACTGCCAGAACAGTGAGTACAGCAGGGTGCAAGGGGCTGGGAGAGATGAAGCCAACGGGTCATGACCCCTTTGGTCTGCTCTGCCACAAAGGGCCTGAGGACCCTGGAGACAGCCCCACAGGGCAACCTGGGGATGTTTGTACCCGTGGCTGTGGCAGCATCACGCGTTAGGGGCTGAGGGCTGGCTTGGACCATGTTGAAAGGACGAGGGAAGGACTGTGGTGTGGGTAGGAGGCTAGTGTCATCAAGACCATGCTTGCGTCTTGCTCTGCATCTCCTCGGGGCCTGTCCTGCCTGTTCTGGAGGGGACATGGTGCTTCCTCTGTGGCCTGGAAGGCACGGAGGAATAGGAGAATGGTTACCTCAAAGCCTGGCCTGCTTGATGGGCTCCTAACCTTGCCGCGTGTCTCGGTACGCTCCACACACAACTCCATTGAGAGGGGACGCAGCTTAGGCAGCTTCTTGGATTAGAGCTTCAGCCAGTGCCACTGTATCAGCAAGGACCCTGCCATGGACCTTGCTCAGGGGGTTTCTCTCTCCTCCTCCTGTGGCACAGAGCAAAGGGTCTATTCCCCAGGACTGGCTTTGGGGTCTCTTCCTGAGCCCACCTTCTCTTTTCGCTCCTAGACAAGAACGAGTGCTACTCCCAGCCCTGCAAAAATGGAGGCACCTGCCTAGACCTGGATGGCGACTACACCTGCAAATGCCCTTCTCCGTTCTTGGGGAAGACCTGCCACGTCCGTAAGTTCCTGACGCCAATTATGCAGAAAGATCCCTTTCCCTCCCTGTTTCCCGCCATCCCGTCTGCTTCCACCAGTGTGGGCAGAAGAGGTCTTGCTAGTTGGCTTAGGTTTGGAAGACAAAGCCATCTGAAGGGAGCTGCAGGTATGCATGTGCCAGCCGGCCCCTGATACCTATGGGCCTTAGTGTTAAGGCACCGTGTCCTTTCCGGGGGGCCACAGAGCAGCCCTTTCCCTTCTTCAGACCTTTGTGCTGTGAGAGGTGCTGATTGATGATGTGATTTTTGGCTGAAGGCTGAGGAGGGGAACACCTGGCATTTTGTTCTATGAACAACCAGATCCATCAGGGAGGTCCTAGTGTTGTCCTCCGTTTCATGCTGTGCCTCAGACAAGTGGATTCTTTTGTGGAGGGAGTGAGGAAACTCAGTCCTGGGTGAGCAGCCAGTTCCTTCTCCTGGTTTTACTCCCTTGTTGTCTTCTCCCTTTGACGCTCACATCCCCGCTTTGTCTTCCCTCTGCCTGTTCCTCCAGGCTGTGCTGTTCTCCTGGGCATGGAAGGGAGGGCCATCTCTGATGCTCAGCTCTCAGCCTCCTCTGTCCACTATGGCTTCCTTGGCCTGCAGCGCTGGGGGCCAGAGCTTGCCCGCCTCAATAACCATGGCATCGTCAACGCTTGGACCTCCAGCAATTACGACAAGAATCCATGGATCCAGGTACCTGTGGGAGGGCTGTGAGCACCAACAAAGTGGGCAGCCCCCATTAGCCGGTGCCGATCTTACTGAGCTATTCCTGTGGCATTGCTCTGCCTCTGTCGGCAAAGGAAGGGCTGAATCTCTGCACTGCACTGCATGGAGCCAGTGTCCTGCCCCTGGGTGGCATCTTGCTGTGGGCAGGAGCTGTCGGCCGGGGATGCTGATGTCCCTGGAGCAGGCGAGGTCTCTGGAGGAAATAAGGACCCATTGTCATCCCTCCTTCCTGGCCCAGTGGACCAGGATCAGAGGCCAGAGGGATGGAGGACTTTAGCACTGAGGAAATAGCAGGGCAGGTGGGGCAGCCCCTTTCCCAGGCCTGATGCTGACCATGAGCCCATGCTTCTAGCCGCATTCAGCAGCGCTGATGGGTGCAGGGGGGTGCTCACAGGGTGCTGCGAGCCCCCAGCCTCACCGTGCCCTGCTCCTGCTCTTGACCCCAGGCCAACCTGCTGAGGAAGATGAGGCTGAGTGGGATCATCACACAAGGTGCTCGCCGCGTGGGCCAGGCAGAATACGTCCGCGCCTTCAAAGTGGCCTACAGCCTGGATGGACGGGAGTTCACTTTCTACAAGGATGAGAAGCAGGACATGGACAAGGTGGGCTGTGCTGCCTGTGTCCCCATGTTGGCTCGGGGCCGCGCAGCAGACGTGAGCTGGCGGGAGGGAGGCAACGTCACACCCCCAGACGGGACCTGAGTGTGGGGTGCTCTCTGCCTAGAAGAGCTCAACTGTAGGAGCTTTGCAGCAGTGACTATTCACGCACACCCTACAGCAGCCCCCGACGGGGCTGTGGGCACAGTGTCCTTGTAGGGTCACAGCACCCGCTGGGCTTTGCTGCTGTTATTCTCGGCGGGCTCTGCGTGCCGGCGCTGACCTTCATCCTGCGCCTCGGGGTCCCGGCACGCCTGGGGAACACGTTGCTCGTCCTTCAGATGGGCTGTGCCTTCCTCATCTGCCTTAAAACGCTGGTACTGCTCATGCAGGAGCAGAGGCCCTGTGTATCAGGCGAAAAAACTGACCCAAACTCTCCTGGGCTGTGTTCATGCTGGTAAATTAGACATGCTGGGGCTGGTCTCCGGCCTGGAGGCAGGGAAAGGCCTGTTCCCCGCTGTCTGACATCTGCGCTCCCGGAGAGGGGTGCTGTGTGCACGCTGCAGGGTAGCTGTGTGCCACGTCCCAAATTGCGCCCGTGTTTGGGAGAGTGCTTTTGACCTGGGTCAAAGGCATGTCAGGAACCGTATGACAGTGTGACAATGCAGACAGTTCCAGCGCCAGGCAGTGTTCTCTGGCCCTGTTTAATTGACCTTAATAAGCATAACCAAAGAAGCAGCGCTGATTTATTTAGGTCACTGAGATAACATCTTTATAGCTGATGCATTGTAGGAATTGGGCATGGTCTGGAATGGCTGGTGAACGGCTTACAAGGCTCTGTGTTGTATCTGTACTGGGTATGAAGCTAACGCATATCTCACTCTCCAAGTGGGTGTAGTCATTGAATGCAGCACTCTCCAATCTCACTTTTTTATTGCAAGTGTCTCCTTGTTTTTGTGCATCCAGGGAATGGCTGGGGATATCTGCCCCATTTTAAAAAGAAAGAAAAGTTTCTCATCTCTGCAGTGGTGGAAAAAATGCGTGAAAACATGACCTGTCTGTATTCTGTGTTGGTTGCGTAAGAAAGAAAAAAGCAAGCCATCTCTCTGTTTTTTGAGTTAGAGTCATGACTTGGGCAGCGTGGCAGTAGGAGGAGGGAATGGAAGTGTGCGTGGCTGTGTGTGGTGAGGAAAAGCACAGATCATTGCCCAGCTGGGTCGAGTGTTAGGGCCGTAGCGAGTTCATGCACACCTCCAGGGCACAACGTGAGAGTCCGGGCTGCCTGACTCTTGCTCGAAGTCTGTCCTTCTGGTGGGCAAGGGCTTTTTATGCGTAAGTCTGCGGGATGCTTGTGGACGCTTAGCCCTGTCTGCCCTTGCAGGTTTTCCCGGGGAACGTGGATTATGGCACTATGCAGACCAACATGTTCAACCCTCCCATCACAGCCCAATTCATCCGCATCTACCCCGTGATGTGCCGCCGGGCCTGCACGCTCCGCTTTGAGCTTATCGGCTGTGAGATGAACGGTAAATGCCCGCTGCATGCCATACAGCCGCCGGGGGCTGCGCTCGGGCGCAAGGGGACTGTCTCCTCCCCGGGGATCGCTCTCGGATCATGGCTGGCCTGGGTTAGTCTGTGGGTGTAAAGAGCCCAGATCTTCTGCTGAGACGTGGTAACATGAGTCTTGCCTACCTGGGGCTGACCCCGTGGCCATCCGGGGTTGGTACAGGTGACACAGGACAGGGTATCCCCCTTGTAACCTGTTCTGATCCCTGGGGCAGGGGATTTTGCCCTGCAAGGGCTTATTGTTTTTCTCATGTCATCTGGTGATGCCTGGAAATACCCATGGGTGCTTTTCAGAAGAGCAGGCTGTTAATCCCTCCAGCTCACCCCGCTAACACCTTCCCAGGCTGTCAGGCTGTCCCAATTCATGGCTAGGGTTTTTCATTGTGCCCCCATCCCCATGCGAGCTGTGAAGCAGCTGCGTTTCCTGCTGGAGAGCCTGAAAAACGCCAGAGGATCAAAGTCCTCTGGGCACCGAGTGAGTGATGATTAGTGCGAGTCCTTGGGCTTTCCCCATCCCTCGCCGCATTCCTG